ATTGTGGAACTGGGCGGGCACGCCTCTCACGGAGGAGACGGCGGATTTCTGAGTTAAAGCGTGGCAGCGATGGATATCTCGCGTCAAGAGTTCTGCCATTCTCCTTCGTCAACGCAAATCGCATGCGCTTTCTTGCATCAATGCATTCTGAAGCATGCGGGTAGACGAATGGACGATGGCGGATGCATGAGGACTGATGCCATCCGACTCATCTCAGATCAGGTCTACTCGATAGATAGTCCAACCCCAAGAGTTACCCTCAGGTCTCTCTTTCCCTCTGCCGAACGTAGGATGCGACAAGCTTAGCATAGTCTAGACATCTGTGAAAAAAACACAAAGTCAGCTTAGCGCGCAAGGGCCGTTTTGGTCTTTTCGACAGAGTAGAAGGCCGTTGTCGCTGGTTGGGTTGAACTAGACTCTCGCTCCTCAGCGTCCAGCGTCCAGCAGAGCCATATATAGGGGGAGATTCCGAGACATGTGGTGGGGTTGTTGCAAAATTGCCTGGTGCTTTTCAAGGAAGTTGTTCGAGAATGGGCAGGGCTGGATTGGGGGATCGTCATCTCTACCCGTGCTCACATGGTTGAGTAGAGGAGAGAGACACAGCCATATATATTCCTTCACACCTACTGCTGCTCCCGTCTCCTTCGAGACCAGCCCTTCCGGGGCCTCTCCGGTTCATGCTTGGGTTGCATTCTGAATGAAAATATACACGTTACAACATGTCCACCGCTCAACCATCCAAACATCCAGCCATCCCTGCCGATACATGGAGCAGCTGCCGTCAGTAAAATGCTCAACCGTTGACGCATTTTCTTCCAATTCACGAGACCCACCGATGTTCCCTCGGCTTGCATCGCATCTCCTCTCTCATGTTCTCAGCCTAATCGCTCAGCGGCAGCCTCAAGGGCATCGATCGCTTCACATGCATCGACAGATGCCATTCTAGCCATGCCAGCAAGCATAGCTCTCCTAGCTGCCAGGGATCTCACCTGACATGCCGACATCGGTGCCCTGATATCTCATCCATTACCCCTTGATGCTTGTTGCGTTTGTGCGCGAAGCCATCAGATTGGAAAGGCGGTTTTCCGCGAGAGAGAGAGAGAGCGACGGAGAGATCGCACCAAGTGAGCTTTTCTGCACACTCGGCACCCACAAACACAAACATCTCCCGCTCCATCTTCCATCTTGACGTCGACCAGTCCATCCCTCTGACATCCCTCTGACATTCCGCGCCCTTGGAGAGTCACACCGACGTTTCAATCCTTTCCTCGAGCAGGGCCGCCCTTCCGCTTCGCTTTGGTGTATTTCCACGGTATACCTTTCTTTTTGCTCCATTTCAGTTTTTTTTGGGTTTCCGCCCGTCGTTGCTTGGTCAGCCTGCTGTCTCGGTCGCGCCTCCCCAACGACTCCGACGTTGACTGCCTTCGCTCTGGTCGCTCTCTTCGCTACCTTGGTCGCCCTCCTCAAAACTCAAAAAGATCCTCTTTAGCGCGCAGCGTACGACTCCCACCCGCCGCCACACCCGGCCCGCTCGAAAAACACCCTGGACCCAAGACTCTTGCGAACTCTCCGTGAACGAACCCGCCGCAAAACTCTCAAGACATTGATAGCCTGCCCTTGGGAAGGTTCATCCCGAGGCTTTCCTTCCGTCTCTCCGCTTGCCCATCCCCTCGGTTCACTTCTACCAAGCCCAACACCCCGACACACTGGCGTTGCGTTCACGCCACGCGACTCTGGGCTCTTTCCACTTCCATCTCGATTTGCTTTCCAGTAGGAGCTCCGACGAGGGTCCCTCAGTCTTGTCATCACCCCCAGCCGCACCACCACCACGCATCCTTCCAACGCGCAGCTGATCAAAGCATCTTGAACGTGAAAAATGTCAGGATATCCCGTCTACCTTGCCATCAACGGCGAACTTCCGGCGGCCGTCGAAATCACCCCGGACCTATCCATCGAGGAGGTCCGTACAGTTCTCCTCGCCGCAGCGGGTCTCAACGACTCGGTCGGACGCGTCCTGAGGCTCGTCAGACCCTCCGACGGAGTCTTATTGGCTGTAGGTCCTCACCTTGCTGCCAATACGCCCGACACGCGGTATTACCTGGAGATCAAGCAGGGTGAGCGGAGAGGAAGTTCCGAGGGACATGCGCTTTAGGTTGTGACCGGGAGCATTGTTCTGACGACGGGCTCGCTATGGAATTTCAGATGCATTCGTGCCGCAAACTATGGACAGGGCTATGAGTGCAGTGAACGTGCTCCTGGCCCAGGTTTCGCTGCTCAAGGAGAAGGTGGCAACGTCGGCCTCGCAGGTGGAGAGCTCGACCGAGACACAGGTACGAGGCTTAGGTTCGGAAGAAAAGGACGCTTGTTGAAAACGATCTGATGCATTGTGCGAGACAGGACGACGAAATACTACCCGCGAAACGTCGGATCAAAGGGAAGCCCATCACCGCACCCTTGACTCACCGTATCTTTGACACGTCCGTGACGGAGGAGCTGAAGAATCCGACCTTTGACATCTGGAAGTGGGAGGAGCCGGAGATGGCGGATCTCCTGATCCACATGTTCACCGAGTTCGGACTGATCGAGCACTTCAAGATCTCTGAGACGGTCCTCGGTCAGTTCCTCGAATGCGTTCGGAGTAGCTACAACATCAATCCGTTCCACAACTTTCGACATTGCTTCTGCGTCACTCAGATGGTCAGTGCTCTCTTTGGGAAAGATACATGCATCACAGAAAAGGTGGTGATCTTACGCTGTCTCCACAGATGTACGGATTGCTTCATGTGACGAACGTCAAGGACAAGCTCACACCTCTCGAGAAGCTCACCCTTCTCGTCGCCTGCATCGGTCACGACCTAGACCACCCTGGCTTCAACAACGCGTACCAAGTGAACGCCGCCACGGAACTATCCCTTCTCTACAACGACATGTCCCCTCTCGAGAACCACCACGCCGCCGTCCTCTTCACCATCCTCAAGATGCCCGAGACGAACGTCCTCGGTTCCCTCTCGGACGCCGACTACAAGGAAGCGCGAAAGCAGATCATCGGATGCATCCTGGCGACCGACATGGCGAAACACGGAGAACTGATGCTCAAGTTCAAGGGGTTTGCCGAGGGACCCAACGGCTTCAACTTTGACGATCCTGCCCATCGTACCCTTCTCCTCCAGATGATCACAAAGTGCGCCGACATATCGAACGAGGTCCGACCCAAGCACGTGTCGGAACCGTGGGTCGACAATCTCCTAGAGGAGTTCTTCACCCAGTCGGACAGGGAGAAGGCCGAGGGACTTCCCTTCGCTCCTTTCATGGATCGACAGAAGGTCACGAAGAGCGGCGCTCAGGTCGGGTTCATCGGGTTCGTCATGATACCTTTGTTCGAGCTGGTCGGAAAGGTTCTGCCCAACATGGAGGAACCCGTCATCCAACCCATCCGGAAGGCGTTGGAGTACTACAAGAGTCTTGCGTGAGGGAAGAAAGAGTCGTTGAGGAACATCCTTGTCTTTGTCCGTTCAGACGCTTCTCCCCCACCTTTCTGTGCTCTCCATATCCCTCCTTCCATTGCAAGCCATCGGCGGAGATTTCTCTTCCTTGCTTTTCTTTTATTCTGTCTTGTCTCTCGGCATCCCTCCTTTGATCCTATTCTCTTTTTTCTTTCGACTCTCCTCCCCCTCCCCCCTATCCCTATACACACACGCGCGCGCACCATCCTGTAGGGGTTCCTCCACCCACCTACACCCTCGGTCGGACCCTTTCATCATTCTTGTAATTTCTTCAAGCAAACTTCACCTCGTGGGAAAAAAAAAGAACTTACTCTGCCTGTCAGAAGCGGGTATTGGGAACGGTGGAGAATCCCTCGATGTTCCGCAAAGGGGTTTCGACATGCTAAGCACCGTTCGGATCGGTAGCGAATATCCAGGACAGGCAGTGAACATATCCTTGGCCCCCCCCCCCTCCGTCTTCCCATTGCCTGCAGAACGGAGTCAGGATGATCGACCATGATCTCATCACACGAGTTTCCATAATCCGCGCGGGTTGAGCTTCTGACGGTGTCGAACAGGTCCTGTACCCCGTCGACTATTTTCCGGTTCCCCGACGATTTGGCGGGGCTGTGATCCCCCCCCCCCCACCGGTTCGTTGGGGTGGGTGTGCTCGGTACGGCAGTTTGTCGATCGATCGACATGATGCGCGTGTCAGAGGTATCGGATGGAGAGTTGGATGGTTTGATGAGTGTGGAGGTGGTCGAGAGATGGTGATCAACGGAGCAATCTGCTAGTGCTTCAAATGTTGAACAGTTTTGTCGAATTGCAGACGGGCGATCAATGTCGTTACGGCATTGAATCTACTCGGTCCCTCGGTCCGCGAGTACTGTAGTGCATAGGTCTGTCGAACACATCGATCGAGATCATGGCAGGGCGGATGACGGGACAGGCTTACTTTCCCCGTGTTCTAATTCTCCCCGGAAAGGTCAAGCGTGCAAGGGGGTGGTAGGGACGCGGCACTGAGCAGCTCCTCGTCTTGTTCCCCGCTCTCGCTCGAACATGTCGGACGGCCTCGATGCGAACCCCCCTCCCCCCTCCCGTCGTGCCTTCCCTTCTCGACCTCACACACACTCTCTCTCAATCTCTCGTCTCCTTTCATCTTGTCGCGGAAAACACCCGCGCTTCCATCGGCTGAGGACAAAAAATTCACGCCTTCTGGACAGCGATGTCAATGCTGCACCGCGAAAGGATGCCCTGACCTTTGACGATTCTACACACAAAGAAACGAGCCATCCGTGGGCGACGCAAACGCTAACTCCAGAACCGTAGTCCCCTGCTCTCGGACGGGGATACGCAAACGGGAATGCCGGAACTCGGAAGCATCGGCAGGGCAACTAACTGTGTACAGATGCGGAGTAGATTTTGGGACAGCTACTCTGCAAAACCAAAACCATCGACACACAACTTTTGCACACACGGACTGCGAAATAGCACAGTGGCGCCCCCAAAAAACATGATAGGACGCGATGAGGATTGAACTCATGACCTCGGGATTTGCAGTCCCACGCACTGCCACTGTGCTACACGTCCCCATAACTTTACATGGAACTTTTTTGTTTGTAGCGTCTTCAAAAGCATCCGACAAGAGACAATTTCGCGGTCTGTGTGTGCAAAAGTTGTGTGTCGATGGAAAAGCTGAGTGGTCGAGGTCTTCCTACCAACCACCACGATTCTACACGACGCCGAACCTTTTGCGCACGTTTGTTCAGCAGTTGTAGGGAGGGAAGCGGTTCATGAAACCCTGGCGACTAAACGTGCGAGCCTGTGAAGCGCTAGCAGGAAAGAGAGTGCCGACGATGCCACGCCGTCGCGTATTACGTTTTCCCGTGCGTTGAATGTACCGCCGATCTTCATAGACAGGTCTCTAAGAC